CGGACGACCTCGTTGGACACTTTCACGTCGCGTGCAATAAACACTTACTTTTTGCACTTGTTGCATAAATAATTATTAGACTACTCTCATTTTAGAAATAATACTACATAAAATACATAATTGTAATATGTAATACAATTTTGAAAAGGTAATGTAAACAACTTTGAGATGAGGTATAAACAACTTTGGTAAGAGTTGTAATTGGACACTTATCTATTATTCTGAATAATGTTTAGTGGTAATGTCACTAAAAAAATTTACAAATAATCACTGGATTTTTAATATTTTAAAGTTTGTTGCGATCTCTTTTGACAGTAATTGCAATGTATTATTTATAATTTGTTTATTTTAATAATAAATGAGAAATAGTTAATAAATTGTAAAGAGGGCCATGATATTTTTGTCAAATTCGACATTCTTATTTCATAATAAACATTCTACATTAGTTTTAATCAACAGAATAAACCATTAATTATCTGTAAAATTATATTTATATAAAATTTTCATTTAAATATGTAAAAATCTTAATGACAAGAAAACACTAAAGATTCTAATTTCTAAACCGGTTCTGTAAATGATTTCTTTACAATTAAGTGCTCAAAATTGACACAAGCTAGATAAAAAGAAAACTTTGTCCAGTGAAATACGCTTTTCGTCGTCTGATTTACATATGGATAAGCAATCTTTGTAATTATGTATATCATTGGGTGTGAGACATTAATTGTTGTGCTCTGTGGAAATTTATAAAATTTCTTTACTATCGAATGAAATCCAGGTTTCCAGAGTGATGTGTTTGTACATCCACGGATGCAACAAGTTTTTTCGATAATGATATTACGAAAATAATTCGACTTAATTTAAATAATAATTATTAAACAATAAATGCCATATAAAACATTAATAAATACCCCCCATAAAGTTCACATTTTTGTCACCAGTTAGCGTTAAAGTCATGACGCATGGTCCCTATACCAAATATCTCAGACCATTTATTCGCTTACATGGAGGCCACAACAATAACTCCACCGGCCAGCAATTTTTGGGGGGCTATTTTCAAACTCTAGAGAAAGTGATTTCTCTCAAGATTTTCATGAGAAATGTCATGCGTCATCGTAAAAACAATATTTTTAAAGCCAGACTGTTTCTTTCGGTTTATTTCGAGAGGATTAAAATTCTCCCAAGAATTTGAATTATCCTTGGCTTTAAAAACACTGTTTTCACGTTGACATATGACATTTCACATAAAAATTTTGAGAGAAATGAGTAGTTTTAAGTTTGAAAATAAGTCCGTAACTTACAAAAATTATTAGTAGGTACATGTTGATGTTTTCGTGGAAACTGTATTCTTCTAGAAAGGCTTCGAATTTTAAAATGTCCTCTTTGTCAAATCAACGAATCGTCAAGAGACTATATAGAGCTCTTGGCTTATCAGAGAGTTACGATAGTGTGCTTGTGCTAGACGTTACTGAGCATGATCAAATTATTTACTAAATCCAACGCCATCGGGATTAATAAATACATATATTTAAAGTGACAATGTTTTGAAAAGTAGAAAGTGGTATAAATCGAAAACATGGATATATTTCTACGAATCCTCTTTGCAGTAGTGATGGTTTGGTTCATTTAAGAGCAAACAAATATACATAAAAGAGTGGGATGTCACGGCACCATAAAAATTGAAATATTTATATTTTTTTCGTAAGACAAAAGCGGGACACGTGTTAAATCGGGACTGGTGGTTTAAAATTGGGACTGTCCCGACGTTGGTCTTTAATGTGAACAAATAATAAAAAGGAGCTATTACTTTAAGTTACCCACCTTATTTTAGTAAAATGTGTAGTGTGTTCAGTGCTACAAGTAATTTATAAATTAAAATTTATTTGCAAATTGTACATGCAGTTATGGTCAGCATCTCTTGTAACAAATGTACAAACATTAGGATGCTTTACCTCATTAAAAATAAGATTAAAAAATGTGATCGCATAAGACATCATAACAATAAAATTGTATTTTTTAATGGCCAATATAAACATAATTTTTATATTATTTGTTATTTTGCCATAATATATTTTCAATTAATACGACTGTTTGATTATATCAGTTTCGGTCTAAAATAACAGTTATGTTAAACCATGATATATTAAATGAAATTTCTAGACCTTATTATTCTATAAAATACACTTGCACATTTTTGTTGAAACTTATTTTATCAATAAGTGCAATTCTCGGTGGAATAACTAAAAATTAGTTTTTATTACCTTAACCATTAATTTTATAACAATTAATAAATTTTGCTTACATTTTCTAAAAAAAAAATGTAGCTTTGGGTTTTATTCAGAAAAGCCCGTATCTGGCAGATCGGCCATATTAGGATGAAAACATCCACGCCAAGTGATACCGTTTTGAATGTTTGAAAAATATACTTATAGCGTCTCCCTACCTTATAACTCCATGGTCCTCTCGGTATTCTTCATCAAGTTCACCGTTATTAAACAATATTGATTGACTGCTTTTAAAATGGTCCAGTTACACCAACCAAAAGCACACTTTTTATTATTTTCATTCAAGGGGGACTGTTTTGATTAAATACGATTCCATTTAACACTATTTTAAATTTTTAAGAACCTATTTAGGATCTGTTATCTTTAGCTTCTAAAATTCTCAAATACCAATTTAAGAATTTTAGTCGAAATCTGCCGACTTTTAAAAATAACTTTCTTAAAACAAGCTGCTCAACCTATATATAACTGATCGGAAGTATAACTGGTTTTAAGCCAGAAAAGAACCTTATCTGCATACAAAATTTGAAAATTTTCTATATTGTCGTTTTTGGGCTATCGTACCAATAGACAGACATACAGACAGACCCCAGATGACAGACAGACCGACAGAATGGGGAAACATGTTTTTCGTAATCTAGGGAAACCTGAAAATCTGAAAAAATCTCGAAAGTGACTTTTTCACGATTACAATACTTTGCTCTTATCGAGGGAAGTAAAAATAAAAATAATAATAATATTAATAGTAAAAATAATGTCTTTCCTATTTAGTAACTTTGTCGCTGTCCTGTTTTTTCTGTAAGCTTTTAAGTATTGACGCTTTTTATTTCCTCTTTTGTAACTCCTAGCAATATTGATATTTACACTTATAACCTCGCTAATAACAGAAACTTAGCGCGCTCGAGTAAAATCTTAACAAATTACCCTCTGTGAAATAATGGGTTAATTGGCTAATACTTCCTAAGAAAATGCATAGCTGCACGATATTTCCCATCTTTGTCTACCTTTGTCATGACTGGTTCGAGGTGAAGACGGCGTTCCGCTCCGTCCCTTACCCTACTTTGTCCCAGTGATTTCTTCTAGGTGTAAAATAACAATGTCGTTGACCCTTCGTTGCATAGTCTTGGATCAAAAAATATTGCATATAGTAACATATTCTAAATGCAGTGGTTAAACTTAAGAATAAACAAAGGTTTTAGTGCAAAAATCATACCTACTGAAATAACTATTATTTATGTATAAAAAGATTTAGTTAACCTGACAGTATTTGGCATTTTTATTCCTTTTATTCTCATAAATCCATGTGTACTTTTAATATTTTTATTACAACAAAACCTTTATCAATTCTTTTATAATACGAATACATTTTTCAGATATTCAATATATGTAAAACTGAATGTATGAGAAGTCTACAGCAAAGTGCGTTTTTTATGTTTTTAACGCGAACGTAAACCTTAAAAGAGAGACGGGTACGAAATATTTTAAAAATAAATTAGTATTCCTGTTTTAAAGTATAGACCACTCAATAAATTTTTCGTAACAACCAATTTAAACAGATGGAGTTTTGAGAGATAATGATGAAAAATCCAATTAAAATATTAATTTTTTGAAAAATATTTTATATACAGATTAGTTTTCTTTTATTCTCCATAGAAAACATAATCCATTTGTGTTATGATATTGATCGCAGGAGAAAAACGTAATTATATCCGCAAAAACTGAATGTATGGACGGAAATCCGGGGGGATACTGTCATCGGTCCTTTTCTTCATTCTGGGTAACCTGAATACCCAGCAGTATTTAAAACTACTTGAAAATAACATTATTACTGCCATCAGAAACCTTCAGGTTAACTTACCTATCTAAATCAACAATCTCCCAATCGAGTTATTGGTACCAGATGCACTATAAAATTGACACTACGGTCGCCAGACTTAGCGCCACTAAATTTTTATTTTTAAAAAAGCATTTTGTAGAGGTTTGTATACGAATGAGCTACCAACTTAAATGAATTACGACGAACAATTATAGAGTTCCGTGCCCAAATCACACCCGAGTAACTGAATAATATGAGAATAGAATTGTATATTAGGTTTAGTTTTTGTTTAGCCCTAGTTCGTGTTTTCTTCGAACCACTCTTGTATTAATTGTGGTTTATTTGATAAGAATGTATAATTTTGATTTTTGATTTTGTTCAATTTTTAGTAGTTATTTTTTTTTACCAGAATAATTGTTTTTATGTCTGCTATGGCAAAAAAGTAATCATATAAATAAGTTGGAAGGTATGATATTATTTTAAAAGATAAAATAGTACCTTTTATTTGAAATAAATTATAGTAAATTACTCCTGCAACTGCTATATTTAGGTGTACATCCCAACGCATAATTGTAAATTACGTACTAAACTCAATAAAATCAAATTCACACCCACTTATCAGTTCATCACAAAGTGAGATATAGCGCGTGCACGTTTTTACAAGACTGTCGCTGTTCCTCTTGCTAATTCATAATATAAAAAAAATTGTCGCATCTGTTTAAGCAATAGTTAGTATGCCGTATTGAATTTTTTGACAGGACGATGCAATGCAAAATTACTAAATCACTAAACGAATAACAACAATCTAGTGTAATACTTGATTTGTAAAAGGTCTGATGATGGCGCCAATAATAGGAAGTTTAACTTTTCAAATTTGTATTAGGCAATAAAAGACAACCGAATATCTGCATGTAATTTATTTGTCATTAATTACATATTTCATTAGACAAGTTACATTATTACTTTTTCTATGGTTCGTTAAGTTAAGATGTGCCTGAAGGAGAAGTTCTTCTTGATGAATTAGGCGATCTCTTTGGAGATCTGCTATTTTCTCCATCAGGGGACATCGACGGAGAAGATACATTTCCTCCTTTACTTGTCGTTTTTAGACGAACTTTGGTGTCCAAATGCCTAAATCTAAAAAAAGGAAGTGCACTATTTGCAAATTATGAGTATTTAAGACAACTGTCTAGAACATTGTTGTTGTGTAAAAAAGTTCAGCAAAATAATCAGAATATTAAAATAATCTTAAAATTAGCCTCCTTATCAGTAAATTCCAGAAGAAAAAACCAATTGATGCTATTATTATCTATTATTATTTGTCTATTATTTTCGCTCCAAGGCCACAAGATGACTATAGGTAATGGGTGCCATTTGACATACAATAAGGTACACCTGGAGAATCTCATCCACCATCGTTTAAACGATAGACCACTGGAATTGAAATACAAATATATCAGCATTGTAGTGAATGACTAATTTATTCTTATTGGACAATTCGTCTGACGATCTTCCTCTAACCAATCTATGAATGATAAATTTTATATAAATTTTGTGGAATTATAGTTAGTGGCTAGGACTCTGTAAAAGAGTAGTAAGTTTAATACTTGTCAGATACCTAGATTAACTTTACATGCGATGTCGATACCATTGTCTTTACGGACGACCTTATTCTGCTGGTCTCTGCGCAAGCCCAGGACGATCTAGAGGAAGCCACCAACCACGCTATGTGGAAAATAGAGCGCTAGAAAATCCACCACAAACTTGACCTTGCGCCTGGAAAAACAGAAATCGAGTAGGAAAATCCGTCAGAATGGATTTGACCATAAAGCTTATTAAAACGAAAAAAATACATGGGAATAGTATTTGACGACAGGAACTCGTTTGGTCCCCATGTCAATTACGTAAGCAAATAGGCTAAACATAAAAGGATCAATAAATAAAAGAAAGAGAGACACTCTATTCCTTAGGACAATCGATCCTCTTGGACGGTAAGGGTAATCACGAGAACCATCCCAATCCACCTTCTCGTAGAACATAAGGGAGATTACACAGATTCGAAGAAGGACACAACAGAAGAAATGAGGATAGCTGAAAGAAGAGTTACCCTAGAAAAATGGCAGCAAGACTGGACCTACAACACAACTGGATAATGGACTAAGGCTGTGGTACCAGATCTGCTAACATAGCAGACAGACAGAAAACTACCAATTAACTCAAATCCTGACCGGACATACACCAAAACGATAGACATGACAAATGACGACAAAATTATAGCAGGGAAAATGGTTGATTCCAATCTGTCAAAAACATAGCAAATCATACAAAACTTTATAAATAAAATTATAACATAATTATAATAATAATAAGAGATATTATGGACAAACACATAAACAGACAAACATAGGAGTGCCAACGAGTGCCGGAAGGCGAACCCCACTCTTTTCTAGAAAGACAAAGGGTATTTTTAGTTGGTAGGCTATATGAGTGGAGGCGATAGTACTGGAATTACTCTACAAATACCAATGGGTCAGCTTCCCAGTTTGTTCCACAAGCCTAATAGAGCAAACAAAAATTTTTGGTTGGAATATCTTTGTACGCAGACACATTTAGCTTTATTTTCGCTTAGTAAATCGTATTTCTCCAAGGTGAAATAGAGTTTTGTCGACTTTCTTTCATCTCTTCTGTTGCTATTTATCATATCTATAAGACTGGCGTGACACTTGGCACTAGATTTGGCGAGGTTGATTTAGGGACTGTATTTAATGCACTTTGGTTAAATTCTATAAATTTACCAGAAAAATAACAATAAATTAGTATTTCACTTCTACGTTTATTAAACAACATAATTATCAAATATTTTCTTTTTCTTTTAATCTTAATGTTAAGTCATAAATTACAAATAACTTTTTAAAATACCGAAAATTAACCATCTGCATGTGCAAATACGGCCCAGTTTCGCTAAAACATTTCTAGCCATCAGTGAATACTTGACAAACACGTTTTTAATAGTCTATCTCAGCCCAATTAACTCAAGTCTCAAACACTTTCACTCTCTCTTTCTCTCGAGCAGTTCTTAGAAAAGAGACCTTATGAGTGTCCGGCGCATAGCTAACGCATCCCAAGTGACGTATTTCTTATGTAATGAAGCACCTCATTCGCCAGAACCACCCCCCACTACTGTACAAAAATCTATTGCGTCAACTATACACCGGACATTCAATTCGACTCCAGATAGTATAAAACAAGATGATCTATGACAACGAGTTAGAAAGACAAAAAAGCTTTTCTGGACGAAACAGTCGAGAGACACTACACACGTTAATATTTAAGCTCTTGATAAGCAAATGAATTCAAATTGGCAACGATCAAATTAATTGTAAGTATTAGTTAAGAAGTTCTATGTTCTATCTACAACACCAACAGTGTGCTTAATAAAAACACTTCGTCTTCTACTCAAACTCTCAAGTTATTTCTACAAGAAGGACCCAATTTTCCTCACACCAGCGACTTATACATATAGGACACTTATATCAAAAAAATATTGGAAATAGAACCAGTATATTTTCACACTTAGTGTATAACTTGACCGACTCGTTACCTACTAATAATTAGTTGAGCCCTGCACCTTTGGGATTTGGACAATTTATCGACATTTAATGGGAAGCTTACGCTTGACAAGTCTGGATCGTCCATGAGCCGACCTGGACAACTACGATGAGTTAAAGGCGCGCATTTAGAACCCGACCCTTCAAGCGATTAATTGGTCACATAGCTATTATTCTTTACATAGTGGAACAGTTGGTAATAGAGAGTTATTGCAAATTTTTTAAACGTCAGCCACTAATAGTGACAACGTAATTAGAGGCAAATAAATTCCATGCTAAAATAAGACTTATTGCAAACCTGAAATTTTAACATTAAAGTTCTTGTCCTTATACATATTTTAAACTTCATTTTAAAAATTTTAAATTACAGTTCATCTTTTTTGTTGTTTATAATAAGTACATAATATAGAAGAGGCATTAGAAATTACCAGGTTCAGATGACGATGATATTAAATATTTCATATTAATAAATTTCGAACTGATACGAATGTTGGCGAGCCCACCAGAAAACAATAAAGTCGCAACTAGCTGCTGCCCTTAAACATCCACAATTAAGGACAGGCACAATCTTTATTAAAGTCAGTTCTAGAATGTAAGTGATCTGCGTATGCTCAGATGTCAAAATAAGAGCGGCACTAATAATGACTGGCCTTAAATGAACTTGCAATATAACTCTCTAATAATAAAAGTGTTATTAATTATAATAAGTTTACCTAATAGGCAAGTTGCCAGACGTTCCATCTTCAGTAATCCCTTGGAACAAGAATGCAAGGGGCCAGCTGATCCAAGATGAGCTTCTGTGAAGAAATAAGAATTACTTTAAAAGGTATTTACAAATTAATTTGAATCTTTTGATGAAAAATATACAAATATTAGATCGATATTACCCTGAAAATAATGTATATTTTATAAGCAAGGATTAAATATGCAAATTACAATGACGGGCCAAAGAATAAATAATAATAAAATTACAAAGCAAGTTACATCTGTAGTTTATAACGAGTGATCCACAAAAAATATTTCTCACGTAGGCCGTCACAATAAGATGCAAGTATTTGGTCCAACATGCGTGACTGTTTCCATAGCCTACTTTAGAAAAAATGTTTGAAGTTCATTCAATATTTTTAATTATTGTGATAAATCAAAAGTTGATTATTTTAAAATAATAATTTTTATTTGCACAAGTTTTCCATTGACAATCGTCTCGAAAACTAGAAAATTTTTAACTTAAATGGGGTGTTTTCTACAAATAAATGAGTTTTTTTATTAAATTCTAGTGTCTACATCATTTCAAACATTTAGCTATTTTAAATCATAATACCTAACTTAATTATTATTACATTAATAACTTGATTTTTTACTGTAAAAGTCAAAATGCAAATACTAGAAGTCGGAAGACGTTTTAAGAAAACTAAATAGTCAAGCCAACTAGCCTGGTTTTTAGCTAATATATCTGGCTTGTTTGTTACCTTTGCAACGAATGTATTTTTCTTGGACGTGACCTAAGAATTAAAATAATTAAGATACGATCGTTATTATCACATATTTTATAATTTACTTCTTAAAACGTGTAAAACTAAGAAAAAATAAATGATATTACTGAATATGCAACAGATAAAATAAAACTGATGTCTCATTCTCGGAAACATTTTTTACGAAACTTTATCCTATTTAGCTTCTCTTTAAATTAGGCAGTCAAACGTACTGTCAGAATGGGCTAAAATGGCCGTCGCTTGAAACAACAATACAGTTTATTTAACCTGGCCTTTTCACTAGTGTTTAACTGTTTAACAGTATATTTAATATTCATATAGTCTTAATAATTATTAATTTTGACAGTTTTAAACTAAGCACACCTAAACAAATTCTATAATCTCAAAAAAATATTACAGAAGATTGGATTAATAACCTCACTAGAAGTGTTTTTGTCACAAAACACTTTATTTTTATCCAATCGTTCACCATTTAAAGTCACGTGATTTGGATTACCTAATTGGGGGTGGTTATGAAAAACAAACACCACTCAATTTATTGTAACGAGTAATCATTGTTTCTTAGTTAGGTAATAAGCAAAGATATCGGATAATCGATACGCCTTGTTTACATTGACTTTGTCCGCAACTATGAAGACTAGAGATAAGCAGGCGAATCGGCAAACTCAAAATACATTCCCAAAAAACGCACGCTAATTGAGCTTCTATAATTAACCGCATGGGCGCTGGTACTGCTTACGGTGTTCAAAATACATGGCTTCTTATGGGAATTATACATAATTTTGAAAAAATAATAAAAATAAACTTATTTATAGCTAAATAAAGCACAGAACATACTGTTATCTATATAAAATACAAATTAGGTAGGTATGATCAGATTCGAAAAGGTTAGTTAAATGCTGAAAGTACAATTTTGTGGCAAAATTTTTTTGAAGTGAACCTATATATAGTTTGAAGAGCAAAATAAAACACAGTTAACAGATTTTTTATTGTTGTAATACAAGTATAAAGGGAGATTTGGGAATGTACATGGTATTACCTCATCCTTTAATTTCAGCTTTCCCCTTTTTTATTTTGCTAACAGTACCATCAGTAAAAATAGTCTCATATTATTTGATATCTTCTAAAAAGTATAGAACAGCATCATCTCTAGAAAATGCTTTATCGGCACTAGCAACGATATATATGCTGCCACTGTTCTAAGCGTTTAGTATCCTATAAAAAACATTTACAATAACACACTTGGGGTTCAACAAAAAAAAAATAACAGTAGCAACTCTTTATCTAACATTAAAACCCTATAAAAAATAAATTTTCTTTTCCTACGACCACTTAGGAAAGTGACACATATCACACTATATAGTCCTATGGAAAGTGTCCTATATCACACGCGTATGACTAAGAATTTACTTTCCACCCAAGTGAGAATATGTTACTTTCCGCAGTAGTTGTCAAAAAATGTCAAACGCCTAATTTCTATTTTGATCTATGTAATGTCCATATTAATACTAAAACCGATATGATTGTTAAATTATTGAAATTGTTTTAAATTAGATCCTAGATATTTATCTTTAACAATTATTATTAAAATAATTTTAAAATAACTAAGATTATGTTTGCTCTTTAATTTGGGTAAATACATAACCGATTAGATCATTCAATTGACGTAAGGCCCATTAGCTCAGTTGGTTTAGACGTCGAACTTATCAACTTTGCCATTTTTTGACCGCGTTCAATCTATGGTTCAAATCCTGGCGGAGCCGAATTTTTTTTTTGTTTTTTTTTATTTTTTATTAGTTTTTTTTGTTTAGAAAATATGAAAATTGAATAAATACGATTATTGTTGATTATTTTTTTAAATACATTTTAATTAATATAGTAATAATAACCTTGGTTTTACATTTTTTTGATATTATTTTGTAAGCTAATTTCTATTTTGATCTATGTAATATCCATATTAATACTAAAATCGATATGATTGTTAAATTATTGAAATTGTTGTAAATTAGATCCTAGATATTTATCTTTAATAATTATTATTAAAATAATTTTAAAATAATGTTTGCTCTTTATTTTGGTTAAATACATAACCGATTAGATCATTCAATTGACACAAGGGCTGTTAGCTCAGCTGGTTAGGACGTCGAACTTATCAATTTTGCCATTTTTCGACCGCGTTCAATCTATGGTTCAAATCCTGTCGGGACAGAATTTTTTTTTTGTTTTTTTTTATTTTTTTTTATTTTTTTTTATTTTTTTTTTATTTTTTTTAGTTTTTTTTTGTTTAGAAAATATGAAAATTGAATAAATACGATTATTGTTGATTATTTTTTTAAATACATTTTAATTATTATAGTAATAATAACCTTGGTTTTACATTTTTTTGATGACATTATTTTGTGGTCGTAGGAAAAATATTGTACATCACTTGTGTGAAAAGTGATTTTCCACACTCGTGTGATAGTCGCACTCGGCTTGCGCCTCGTGCGACTATATTTCCCACTCGTGTGAAAAATGTCACTTTCCACACTCGTAATGTAATATGCTATTTCTTTGTAAATTAAATTTAATGTATAATTAATTTTATTTGTAAGTCAGGATCTATGACTGTAAAATTTTATATTATAGAAACTTGTAATACAATAAACTACACTCCGTAAGATACATATTGTGACTAGTTCGCAATAAATATTATTAAAATAACCAAAAAAGGTTGACAGCTGTGTGTACGTAGTTTAGATTCAAAAGGAAAGGCTTGTATTTCGTGCAAAACTTTTTAATTAATTAATGCAAAGCGCTTTCGGCTTATTTGCCATCATCAGTGCTTATCTACAAAAATTGTGGATGTAAACTTACAATTTAAAAAAAATTATAAAATCTGAATAAGACTTTTAAGTCAAAAGTTAAAATTGTATATATACGATTGTTTGAACAAATTAATAATTAAAAGATACAAACAAATTGACAAAAACCTGGTATTGGGAATAGTGAGTGTGGGATAAGTCCTTACAAATCATATCTGATCTCCAGAAGTAAGTTAGCTTGTGTAGAATTAAGGAATTATGCCACCTTCACTATTCGCACAATTGAAAACAAGTTAACAAATTAGTTAAAATTTATATATTGAAATTTGAATCTAGAATACAATAGTTAATATGAAGAAAGTTAAACGCAGAAGGCCAAAGTAAAAAAACTGAAGGTTTTTTTTTATTTTATATACATTATAATTATAAAAAAGTCTACCTACTGTCCACAACATATCCAACAAGTTCCTGGTCATCCTTACTCCCAAAATTAGATATTTCGGGATATTTACAACTTGCTAAATCATAATCTTAGTATTATTAATATTTTAAAATTTAAATTTATCTATTCATTTTTATTCAAGTTGTTTAACCGTTTCCACATGACAGTGGTGACAAGCGACACTTGAAGACGTTGACTTGTCAAATGTCAAGAGAGGAGGTGCGTTCACCTCAGTGTGGAACATGTTTCTCCAAGTGAGATTCGAGTGATTGGAGGTGGTTAACAGAGATCAAAATTTGTTAGTATTAAATTTAAAGATTTGATTTATTGTTAGTTAAATTTAAATAAATGTTTAATATGAAATGATATTATTATTTTGATGTCAAGACAAAACAAAAATGTACCAGCCCGGGCTCTGCAGAACATTCTTTCAGAGAACCCAAGATGCCACAACTGAACCCGCGGTCCCTAAAGGTGAATCTGATGTTTAGTCCTAAAAATTACTAAATCACTCATCAAGCGTACTCATGGTTGAAAGAGACAAAATAGAAAACAAAAAAGTTTTAATCAAAAGAGTACCATGGTCCCAAAGGTAGGCTCTGATGGGTGAAATCGAGTTTAGGAGGGGATGGCTCTCGAAGGCTTGTATTGGGCGACTCGGACCTACATCATCATAGAGGGTTAATTGAGTTGTCTACGGAGTGGTATGAAATTTCTGTTAAGGTTCACTTGAGTGTTGAGACAGAGGATATTGTTGTCTCTTTCAAGAGTAGTTTCAACATCTTCATGAAAATCTAATAAATTGAAATTTTTTGTGTTTAAGTTAACTAATAATTTGGAGTTTTTTGTTGGGCTAAAATTATGTTGATTGAACCTCAAGTGATATCCGAATGCAGATGTGTCCGGCTTCTTGATGTGCTTGCCTATCCGGACTCCCAGAGATCTACAAGTTCTGCCGATATAACTGGCATCGCAATCGCTGCATTGCAACCTGTATACTCCACTCTTATCTAACAAATTCGTTTTGTCTTTCGTATTGACTAGATGGGAGTCTAGTTTATTAATTGATTTAAAAGATACTTTGATGTTATCTACGTTGTTAGCAAAAATTTTTGAAATGCTCTTAGCTAAGTTATTTTCCCAGAAGGGGATTGATATGTAAAAATTAATAATATGACTCAAATTGGGGGTAGGCTAATTTTTTAATTTTCTTGAACTTAATTTTGGTGATTAGAGATTGGATTATGTCCGGGTCATACCCGTTGTTAAATGCAATTTGTTTAAGTATATTTAATTCTTGAAGATAATTAATTTTATTTAGAGGGATTGATAGAAGTATATGAATATAGCAATAGAAAGCAGACATTTTATGTTGGTGGGGGTGATTTGAAGAATAGTGTATCACGTGGTCTGTTTGGGTGGGTTTTCTATATATGCTAAATTCGAATTTGTTACCCTGTCTATAGACAGAAAGGTCCAAAAAGTTCAAACAACATTCTTTTTCGGCTTCCAGAGTGAATTTTATATTGGGATGAATCGTATTAATTGAGTTTAGAATATTAGAAGCCGTGTTGGCGTTACCATTTATTAAGCAAAAACTGTCATCCACATATCTGTGGTAGATTAAAATATTTTTATGTTGTGGAATAATGTAACTAGTTTCTAAATGATTCATAAAGATATCAGCGATTAAAGGAGATAGGCCACATCCCATAGCAAGGCCATCCGGTTGTTCGTAGGTGATATTGTTAAAAGTAAAGAAA